ATCTCAAATTTAAAATCAAAGCCTTAATTGATAAGCTATTAAACCGAACATATACTAGATTTCTTAAGAATAACTAAAGTTCAAGTACAAATCATTTAGATAAACAGTAGATATTTCTTTTATAGTAACATATCCAATGAAAAATATATTGAAGGTTTTTCCCAAATAAAAACCGTTAATGAGAAAATCAACCAAATAAAACCATTGTTATTGTCCTTTTCTTAGGAGTTTGTATGAATTTATTTATTATTATTTTATTATTATTATTATTTTTTTTTTGTTTATTTAAATTAGTGAATGGTGAAATTTTCTTTTTACTTGACCTCTATCATCAAACTGGACGGATTTTTTCACTAGAGACGTGATTTAAAATTAACTGAATAGTTGAGGATGTTTGATGCTAAAAAAATAAGATTTAGGATAAATTTGTAAAATTTTTGAAAGATTCGGGACAAAAAGTGCAAAACAACCCTAAAGAAAATAGTTGGAATTTTTCTAAATTTTAAAGAGCTGCTATCAGTGTCAAGGACCCCAGATATTTGTTCATGCTCAAATAGCTCATGACTTTTCTAAAGTGTCAATTTCTCCGCCATCACACAATCTTCAGTCCACAATAGACACTCTAAGAACCACCGTGAGGATTGGGAACGTTGTTGCCGGCTGCCGTCTATCGGGGGTAAGCTTTAGATAATTTTATGGGTCTTTGGAATATTGCCGAGTTCAAGTCTTGTAATTTACGTATTTGTATAATTTCAACGTCTGGCCATTAAAATATTAATCTAGAAAACATCTGAGAAGTTGGAGACAGTGTAACAAAAATAAATAATTTTATTTATTTACTTTTTCGATATAATTTCTAACTTGAAGACTTGACAATTCTGATCCTTGGGATGATTCCTTTTGTCTTTCTTAGGAATATCTTTATAATTTTACAAATAAAAATTACGACCTAAAATCCATGGTCCAAACTCTAAAGGCTTTTGAATTGTATACTTGTATAAATAGAATAATGGAGTTACATAATGATTTAAATATAGATGAGGGGTCAAAACGAGAATGTGAATTTTTATTTTTTTTATTTAGTTGAAGAAATTGTAATTCAATCATATCTTACCACATCACATGTATATAAATCATTATGTAAACCATGTAGCACAATTGGCGTAAATAACTAGTCGGTGTGAAACAGACACAATTAGACTGCCTGAGATGAAAGACATTCAAAATGGAACAAATAGAAATAGGAGGTGTCGTCACGAGCGGTACTCGAGGCATAGGGTATGTAACTTAAATTCAGTCTCGTTCACTATACTCATGTACTGATACTAGTAACACTAAGCCTCGTTTGGTCCCTATTAATTTTCATTACATTACATTTCATTTTTCTCTCTTATATTTTCAATCACACAATCTTCCATAAAATAATATTACCTAGAAACCGAAAAATTTTCCTTCTTTTTCAACAATTCATTTTTCAAAAAAATATTATTCCACTCATTTTCATTTTCACAAAATGGGGGCCAAACGTGGAGTTAGCTTAAAAGGTGCTCATCTAACTCGATATTTTATAGGCATGCCATCATAGAAGAATTTGAACGTTTTGGAGCTGTCGTATATACATGTTCTCGTAATAGAAAAGAGTTAGATGAATGTTTAGAAGAATGGAAGCGCAAGGGCTTTCAAGTAGCACTATAGCAGGGTCTGTGTGTGACTTTATCAGTATGATCCCAACGAGATAAGCTGGTGCAGACTCTTCATCCTAACAATCGAAGTGTTCTATCGTAGGCTACACTTCATATATCATAGGACCTGTAACATTTAATTTAATCTCAAAAGTAACCACTCTTATGACTTTAGTGTGTGTACCTATGATGTATGCTGATAAGATTTTGACATTATATAGCTACAGGAGGTCTTATCAATCACTTTCATAAGATTTTTGTACCGAAAGTCTCTTGGAAAAAGTATCTACAGAAGATGCTATTCTGTGGTTAAGAGGTCTCCACGAATAGCTTGCAGCAAGAGGCGCTCGGCTAAGGTAATTGTACCCATGCTTCAAGTGCGGCTTTGGTTGAGGGGCCTTTGCTCTATTATGATGGGGGGTGTGGGCCTTTAGTTGGGCTTTTGAATGGCTACCACATGGGCCTCTTCTTGAGCCTCGATGGCGAGGCATAACAATTAGCACGACAAATAATGTAAGCTGAGGTTGATTTGCAATCATAACAATCGACATCGGAGAAGGTGGAAATATGATGCCCACAATATTTAATTAAAACAGGCTATAGTGAATCATATGTATTAAAAATACAACACTTGCTTGATAGCAATCCATTGCAAATCAGACGTTATGTTCATAAATTGAGAAATGTATTCACCATGAAGGGCAGGTTTGGGAGTAAAAGAAACATATTGTAAGAGACCAATAGTTTGTCAATAGTGGTGGTGTCGACAGGTAGATAGCCATCGATGAGAGTAAGAGATAGTGTACTAGACAATGAAGAGGTGTATTCTTCGACGTTGGTCATGTTTGTGCAGTGGAGAAGATCACGGATATATTTGTGATGCAAGAGTAGATAAGAAGGTATGGAAAGAACATCAACATCAAAAAATAATGGATAGAACCTAAAACTTTTACTTAGAAACGCTAAAGGAGTGTTTGATAGTGGGGTTATCTTTGTCATAAAGAGATTGTGAACGAAGAGCAATTAATTGAAGAGCTAAGATTGCAAAGATAGATGATCAGTCGAACTTAATATCCGTTTTTTTCTAGAAGATCCGCAATAACAAGATTCCTATTCATGTTTTGATTATAAGTATATTTGACTAAATGTGACCTTCCCATATGTGAAATACAAGTGAATGATCCATTTTCGTACGACGACTTTTGAACAACCTTTATTTCCCATTTGAATTTATTGTCTATCATCAACTTCTAGATATATTTTGACGAGAGACTTATCATAGCAAATGTGTCCAACTTCTATTGATTTCCCTCTAAAGGAATTTAAATATAATAAAAAACAGTCAAGAATGATAAAAAACAAAACAAAACAATTATCATTTCATTTGCTGTTCTTCTGACAATTCAAGAAGCTCCTCCATAACACTTATCATTCAATGACGCCTTGCTGCTTGGATGACTTAGCTCGGTCCTATTTCCACTAGCATGTTGAGAAGAAATAACACCAATATAAATTTTCCAGTTTGTCCAAATATTTTGATTGTAATAAAATTATATATCTCAAATTTAAAATCAACACCATAATTGATAGAATGTTAAATCGAACACATATTAGATTTCTTAAGAATAACTAAAATTCGAGCACAAATTGTGTAGACAAATAGTAGATATTTCTTTTAAAGTAACGTATCTAATGAAAAATATATCAAAGGTTTCCCCAAATAAAAACCATTAATGAGAAAATCAACCATTTTTTTTTTTAATTCGGTTTCTTCCTTTTTTGTTTATTTAAATTTTTCTTGTGTGAGCCCCCTTTTTTTAGCATAAATATATTTTAGAATAGAATTTTGTTGAAAAATGTCTGGTTAGAAAGTAAGGAAAAAAATTGAATTTTCATGTAAAATTATTTTATAACAAAAAAATGTTATTGAAAATTAATTTTTGTAAAAATGGGGCCAAACGTGTCAGCGTCAAGGACCCGCTCATGACTTTTCTAAATTCTCAATTTCTCCGCCATCACACAATCTTCAGTCCACAATAGACACTTTGAGAACCACCGTGAGGATCGGGAACGCGGCCGCCGTCTGTCGATTGTAAGCTTTTAAATAATCTTTTACATGATTAGAATATTGCCGACTTCAAGTCTTGTAATTTTCTTATTTGTATAATTTCAACGTTCGGCAATTAAAATATTAATCTCCAATAAATCTTAGAAGTAGAAGACACTATAACAAAAATAAATAAATTTATCTTTTCACGTTTTAATAAATTTAGTTTTTTGATATAATTTCTAACTTCAAGATTTGACAATTCTGATCTTCAAGAAGATCCCTTTTTTCTTAGTAATATCTTCATAATTTTACAAATAAAAATTATGAACTAACATCCATGGTCCAAAAGCTTTTGTATTGTATACTTGTGTAAATAGAATGATGCTAGTTATACTTAAGGAGTTACATATAGATGACATGAGATGAGGGTTTATTTAATTGAAGAAATTCTGATCCAATCATATCTTACCGCATCATATGTATTTAAACCATTATGTAAACCAATCTGTGTAAATAACTAGTCTGTGTGAAATAGATACAATTAGGCTGCCTGTGCTGAACAACATTCAAAATGGAACACATAGAAATAGGAGGTGGTGATGCAAGGTCGTCTCTGAAGGGCACATCTGCCCTCATCACGGGCGGTGCTCAAGCCATAGGGTATGCGACTTAAATTCAGTCTCATATGTAACTAGTAACGCTAAGCTTAAAAGGTGCTTATTTAACTCAATTTGTTTTCGTCATGCCATCGTAGTAGAATTTGCACATTTTGGTGCAACTGTATATACTTGTTCTCGTAATCAAAAGGAGTTCGATCAATGTTTAGAAGAATGGAAGAGCAAGGGCTTTCGAGTAGTAGGGTCTGTGTGTGACTTATCAGTACAAGCCCGACAAGATAAGTTGATGGAGACCATTTCCATTTATTTCGATAGGAAGATTAATATCTTGGTTAGTTTGTCCTCTTTTTATTGTATACTTTGTTCTGAGGCAAGAGGCAAGACTTTTCTGAAATGAATACATCAATTTTTAAGGTGAACGATGCCGGTACAAGTCGACTTAAGGAAGCCACAGATTTAACAGCTGAAATTACTCCCTAATAATGGGTATAAATTTTGTGGCTTCTTATCATTTGTGTCAACTCGCACACCCATTTCTCAGGGCATCAGGAAGTGGAAGCATCGTGTAACTCTTCTGTGGGTGGACTCATAATGTCAGTTCCTTCTGCTTCTTTGTATGCAGCACCTAAAGGTAATAGACAACTATTGTAGTATAAATCAAAATTTAACTACTGCTAAGTCATTTTGCTGTTCAACTTTTGTATAGGAGCAATGAATCAGGTAACAAAGAAGTTGGCATGCGAATGGGCAAAGGATAACATTCGTGTTAACGCAATCGTGTGCCATGGATAACCCAAAAAACAAGGAAACAACTACTTATGCTGCGTATAATTTGTATTTCAATTTTCAGTGTAAGTTTTAAATTTATTTTCAGTTTTTTTTAAGGGTATATTTTAAGATTGCAGAAAAAGTGTTTTGAGTTATCATTACAAAAAAATATATTAAAAAAATTGAAATTTATACTTAAGTTTTAAAAATTTTAAAATAGGGGCGATTGCCACCACCTTTTTTTTTTATACCAAGATGTCCACCTTATAGCAACTAATCATGAGGTCTATGATCCAGCCTCTATTCATGCAGATCAGGTAAATCGCGGGTTGTGTCCCAAACTGACTAGGGTCCAAAAGCCACCCCAACTGAACTATCAAAGTATCGAGCGAGTCAAACTCATGTATGCGCCCTGCCTTCTAAGGAACTCCTGCCTTTAAGGAAATATCCTGTCTTCTAGGAGAAAGTCTTGCCTTTCAAGAGTCCCATGAATCGAACCCGCGACCTCTGAACTGCCCACCTTGAAGAACTTCGTCTTTTACCACTTGTAATGTGCCCCAGGGGGCACGATTGCCACCACCTTCGTCACTGTTTGGGTGGTTGATGGCTTGATGCATATTGGATGTGAGCAGTTACAAGTCCAGGGGCGGAGCTACCTTTGCACTTAAAAAAATAATAATAAAAAAATAAAAAAAGTGTTGGGGGTAGGGACTAAAAATATCCACAAATTTTACCTTTTTACACTCTTTTTTTTTTTTAATTAAGAAAAAATGGAAATTGTGCTTGGCTGGCATTGGCTATAGGAGCCTCAATTTGACTTTCATTATTTGAAATTTTAATGGTTGGAAAATTTTTTTTTTTTTAAGAATATGTAGCTAAAATTAAAAAAAAAAAAGTTTTGGGATTACATATAAAATTATTTTATTGAAAAATATGTGAATAATAAGAAAAGAGAAAAAATGAATTATAATTTTATTCGCGGATCAAATAGGGGGCTAAATCCGCCTTTGGCAATTGCTGAAAATACTAGGCCTACTAAAGGAACAAAAATAGAGGGGAAATTAAAAGTTGTCATAAAATGGGTGCCTCAATTTACTATTTATACCTACTATTATTATTATTATTTTTTTTTTTACAACAATCCTTTTATATCGTGTTGAGATATGCCACGTGGCCTAATAAATTTTAATTTTTTGACTTTAATTTGTGTATTTTGAGAAAATAAGTAACAAAATAATTTGTGTCTCAAACCTAATAAAGTGGGTGGGCTTGCATTGCGCCCCTGACCAAATACAATTCTAAGTGGACATCCCGTATAAATTCTTTGATTTTTGTTAGGCACCATTTGATTGACAATTTATTTTTTATGAAAAATGGAATTTTGATGACATTTTCCAACTTTGGTGTGTTTGATTGGGATTTATTTTCCATCGAATAGGAATTCTTGGATTTCTTGGTAATTGCATTTTTCTTGCTTTTGTGGGAAAATCAATTCCCACCAATAATTTTTTTTTTGACCTTTTTTTTTGGCAATGAAAAAAATTCCTAAGAATTATTGTAAAAAAATATTTCTCTTTAATTGACAATTTTTATGTAAAACAAAGTCAAATGAACACCAAAAGATAGAAGATTTTTTTGAATTTTTTTGAATTTTTTTTTTGCAATGGAAATAAATTTCATCCCCAATACTAGTAAATTCAATCTCATTAATTAACAATTTTCATGTAAAACAAAGTCAAACGAACATTAAAAAATACTTTTTAATTCAACATTTTCCACGTGGAAAATTATATCAATCGACAATTAAATACAATAATTTACAATTCCCAGAAAAACAATTTCTAGGTAATTCAATTTTCTAAAATTCGTTTTCTTTCCATCCAAATTTCATCTTTGCAATCAAACGGATCTTTAGTTATATTTATACTGTTGCAGAAAAATGGAATTCGGTATGCTTTACATTCACTTGGGACCATCGCTAATTTGAACGCGTAAGTATATCGATTAGTTGAATATCATTTCTCTCGATTATATGAGAATGTGTACCAGACTTTAACCTTGCTAGAAAAGATAGCTGCGCCTTGTGCGAAATTGAGTGTAGTTCGATCCGGTCTATGCACATGGCTGGCTATGCCACGAGCAACAATTAGATGGGGGTTGGGATTAGCTTGTACCCAATTGGCAAGGTAAAACGTGCTGAGGGTGTGTGGGAAGGGC